ATATATATATATATCACTCTACAATAGTATTTTGTTAAAAATATAATTATATTAAGCTTGAATTGATTATTGAAACAAAATATTTGTTTATATTTAAAATAAAATATATTTTTATTTATTTTATTTCTATATTTCAAATTGTCATTTTTTTTATCTTATTTCATATAAAACCTACTTAAACTTGGACTATATTATATATTTTCAAAGAATATTATATATATATGATTAATAGGATTCAGGATTAAACGAAGTTCAACAAATTGTTTTCATCAACTCGATGAATAATTACGATAAGCTATATGCAAGAGTCATCGAGTTAAAGTTTTAACACCTTTGTAAATAGAATGTACACTATTTATAATTCTTTGGGTCCATTGTGAACGATAACTGTAATTCTAATAACAAGGGAAATTTATAATCTTGATTTATCGAAGCCTGTCATAAATCTAACCCTTTATTGCTGGAAATGACGTAACGATGAGACACTATCAGCTGCCGGTTTCCGTACTGCTTCGAATTGCACAACATTGTGTGTCAAGGGCTACGAATGTTACGAGCAACCTTCTCGAACATGGCCAATGTGAAATTTCTTTAAGTTAATAAATACCTCGAGTAGAAGACAAAGTCACGTGTAGCATTGTTTCTCAAAAGAAGAAAGAAAAGAAAAATTTTACGCAATCAATAATAAGTACTTTAAAAAATGTTTTTGTCTATCTAATGTTTATATAAAATTTAAGTAAATTGAAATCATTAGATAAAAAAAAATAGATAATTTAATAAAACTATGATTTGATTCTTTCGAGTTTCAGTTTTGATGTTACAAGACAATATTTTAATTTCTTCTTAGATTAAAGGGAATATATTGAATTAAGCAAATCATAAAATTTTTGAGATAGTTTTTTACGACTTCTTTTATCTTTTATAGCTAATTAATTATTTTAACGGTAACGCAAATGCATCAAGAAGACTCTCTGTTAATTCATTTCTTTACTCTAATTAACTACGAGGCAGACCAATTATTAACAATGACTTTAAAGAAAAGAGACTTTCTTGTATTAATTTCAATTAATAATAATAAAAGATACGAAATATATATCATATTTAAAATCAAATATTTCAATTTCACTTTCATTTATCTTATGGTTCTATTTATTTATTTATTTATTTTGTATGACTCATGCATAATTTTTCTTATAATCACAGACAATGCAATAATTATTTTTAACGCTATTATAGATACCCATTACTGATACATACACAAAGTAGACACAACTTTAAACCAACTTGCTTGTATTCAAACAATATAAAGTCAACTAAAATGACTAATATAAACAAGACTCGTTATAGTAAACGATGACTAAGAATATTATCGAGTTGAATACTATTTCCCCGTTATTTTTTCAATAAACTTTGCCCCGTTATGTAATATCGGTTAAAAATTGCGGCAACCACGTCGTAACGCGAAATAACAGGAACATGATTGTTTCAATCTCCTTGGAAACGAATATAAGAGGAAGTTATTATTGGATTACGTATAGAACCATGGAAAAAAAAAATAATGATTAAATTTTGGAAAAATAACGAATAAGAAGAAAAAAATAATGGAAGAAATAATTTGTAATAGCTTTATAGTTAAATTCGTCTAAGAGTAGAACAATTTTGCCAGGGAATAATAATTATGAGAGCGTTGGGGGCCAACATAGTGGAATCCTTAATATTACACTGGTTGTAGTATTAAATCCGTACAGGTTCCGACAGGTTGCCAACCACAAGCTTGCTCCACATGTGGCCTCCACATTTCTCCCATGACAAACTCATGCGAGACGGCGTACATCAAACCATAACATATTCTCTCAACTACACGGATCGAGCAGCTGCTACATGGTACAAAAGAACTCTACCTGTCTAACGTAAGCATGGGGTAAACTGTGATCGGTATTCGTCAGAAACAATGATCGCTTTATCTTGGAATCAACTGCATATGGATATATTGTCTAGTATGTCGATGAATTTGCATGTAATATGGTCTATGAATTTTCATTGTTATGAAGACGTCGTTGAATGTGCATAAACTTATGTACATATTACAAAAATTTTCAATAATTCTTCCTCAATGTAAATTATTGCATATAGTAATTTCATATATTCATTTCAGTTCATTCATTCAGTAATAAATATTTATATGTTCTTTATAAAATACATATAATTTGTTCTTTATAAATATATATAATATATATTGAAATTGTGCGTGTGTGTATAAAAAATATCTAATTTTATAAACATTAGATACGATATAATTCATTACATATTGATGTTTTTCATATATTATGATTATTTTCACTTATCATCCTTCGTTATTATTATTTTTATCTTCCAAATAACAAAACCACCATATAAAATTCAACCTTCTGCTATTTACTTACGAAATGAATGAATAATTCACCAACATTTAATCATTAAAAACTATATATCAACAAGAAATATAAATCATCTGTCATATCCTACAATTGCTAACTGAATACAAAACAAGAATTAGAAAATAAAAAGAAAATTTTTGCTCGATTTCTTAGCCGCGTCGATTATCGCTTATCGTATCACGAAACATCAATCATAACCGCGTACGCAATGATAAGGTAATTATTCACTAGTAATAGCGAATAGTATATTACATTGGTATATAAGTATACGGCCGTGAAAGATAGAATGAGAGCGCTTCTATGTCAGAGAGCTTCGGCTCTGTCCTTAAGTAGCGACGCGATTATCGAGCGATACGACTCGGCGGCTAAATATTCGAGGGCTGTATGTAGTGAGGGAAGAAGAGTGGGGCACGACGCTGAGTGGTACGGCCCTGACGCCGGGTCCCGTAGCGGTGGGCATGCCTGCGGAAGATGGAAGGCGCACGAACCGAATGGTGTAGTTGCCTTTAACCGGCCTTAATGTGAAGATCGGATCGCCGCCGATCAGCGTACGCGTGCACAAGAAAGAGAGTTAGAGCCACCGGCTTATCGTACGGATCGCGCCGAGAATGAAATTCTCTCTTTGCCTGGTAGAATATAGCAGCAGAAGTAGTAGTAGCAGTATCTCGTCGTACGACAGTCTCGACAATAAAAGAAAACGGCTGGAACGTTTATGGCCAAACGGCAGTAGTACCGGCGGCTGTTTCGCCTGAACGGATTTACTCTTCGTGCACGCATTTTCCACGCGTTTACCTGGACGGTGAAACGGAAAGAAGCTGCGCCGTTTTTCTTTATTTTTTTTCTTTCATTTCGGTTTTTGCTCAGTGCCGCGTAACATCTCGTCTTCGCGTGGCTTGTCCTCTTATTCGAGACCAGCCAATCTCGGAATCTATAGACACGCCTTGCAGAAGAAAAAGAGGCGGGACGCGCCTTAATTCGTTCTATTGGTTTCGTTTCTAGCGCGAGATTCGAACTCGCGCCAAAGTGTGTTCCACAGTGGATACTATCTCTCTTTTGGGTTACAACGCTAAGTGGCCGACAGGTGAGTACAGTGAAATTATTTCTTTTTGTTTTCTATTCAATCTTTTTCTTCTTTGTTCGGTGAATTTTAATATCAAATTCGAAATGATAATTCACATGATCATGGATAATTTTCAAATTAGACGATAGATTTCATAGTTTGCGTTAATTTCTTTTCCAATTTTGACAGTTCCACGCGAAGCCATAAACTCATAACCGGTTCGAGCCGGAATTTCAGCAAGAAACGGGATCGTTCGCAAGATAATCTTTGATATACTAGCAAATGTAGAGATAAACTCGATTTTTTTGAATATTATATAAAACGTGTATAAAATATTCTGCTTGGCGTGTTTTCGATATTTTATCTAATAGTTTTTACAATTCGTCGAGAATTTTGAGTATAAATATCGATGAAACAGTTTGTTTCGTGAAAAGAGAAATTCTCTGAACATTTTGTATTAACTTACGAATTTCTACTTTGGCAGTTAGCCGGTTCGTTTGAATTTATCTCTGTCGTCTATAAATAGTATTCGAAATACGTATTCGATTTGTAATATCTATCATATATGTCCGTATTTTTTTGTCTAGTTTTACCGCCAAAATTCGTGATATAAAATTTTCGCGCGCATTTTCAATTTTGTTAATTAACTTTCAATAATTAAAGAATCGTCTAAAATTCAATTATTAAATCCAAAATTAAAAGTAATTTCGAAATTGATATTTGATTTTTTTTCTCGTATATGCTTAAGCCATTAAAATCCCAAGATTTCAATATTAGGTACAAATATTTAATGTAATTAATTTAAAAATAATTTAAAATTACTTTTCCAATTCGATATTTTCTATAAATTTTTTTCAATATATTTTTTAATTTTTTTTTAAATGTTCTATTGATTTTCAATATTTGACATTTCAAAAATATTTTTCTTCTAGATTTCAAATTCTATACATTCCATATAATTTAAAAATAGTTTTAAAATCTATCTATATATCTTTCTGTATATATCTTATCGAAACAATTGTGATACATGACATTTCGGAAATTGTTTTATATGAATATGATTAAACGAGATGTTATTGATATGATCAAATAACATCCCATCGGAATCGATATATGTGAAAATATGTCATACGGAGATAGGCACGCTAACCGATATGTTGCACTTTCTATCGCAACGTCATGCAACACGTTTGCAGCACGCGCGCGTATGCGTCTAGTTTTCAAGAATTTGTATATAGGGTATACTTCCGTATGGATATAATACAAATGGAGGAAGGAAGATCGTTTTTCATTTCGCTTTTGCCGGTGTCCTACGTCCTTTCGGCCTGAAGAAAGCTATCGTTAATTAGAGTGCGGTAGGAAAGCTGTCAGCTCGTTACACGCTTGAACGATAATGTTCGAGACACACACATACATGCATATACCCGCCACCTATATCTAAAGCTGCTGCCGTTGGACCGGTTTCGCTCGGCGCGTGTAGGCAGAAAAGTTCGATCCATCGATCGACGCTCTTGTGGCCATGGAATGTGCTTATACACGTATATGAACGTACGTGTAATACATGCACATATAGATTTTCGAAAGTCCTGTCTAAACGAAAGCAGTTATCCGGTTTATCGGATCGGTCTGTCTTCCCGAAAAAAAAAAGTAATTTTTCGCTTTCTGTCTTCTTTTTTCTTTTTTCGTTCAATTCAATTTCGCATATGAATTTAATAAATTACATATGTTTCTATTTTATGTACATATCTGTGTGTTTTATATATCACAATAATTTTTTTCGTGCATCGATTAGGTAAAATTGAGTTTTTAAAACCGATGAGAAATATTGCCACGCGATTTTTGTGAAAGTGTCTATTAATAACAAACTCGGGATGCAAGTGATTGTGTCTGTTATGTAATTGGGAAGAAAGAAGATCTACCTGTTGGTAACGAGATTCAGGTAGAAATACAACAATTTGACGGAATTTGCGCAAGAAATTATATTACCGACATTTTTTCCCAAAACACTTGGGGCGCTCTGTATATTTTGTTACCTCTGTCTGTTTACCTGTTCGTTGAGGAACACTTTTTTCGCGCGTGTTTGGTCGACGCTTCGAGAACGGTTTAAACGAAAGTTTATCCCGCTTCTTTTCTTTTCTCCTCTTTTTTTTCTTTCTTTTCTTTTCCCTCGTTTTTCTCTCTTACGACGAGAGTACCACGAGAAAGGTTTATACACACGTTGATGCTTTCTTTTGCTCCCAAGGCCGTTCTAGGAAGGTGATTTCCCCTACCGACCGTCTTTTGTTCGATTCAGCGGGTAAAGTAGGGACAAGGAAGAACGACGGATAATGTGTCATTGTTTTTCAACGGTGTGCGTTTTTCACGGGCGACCGAGTCACAAAGACCACCGGTCTCTATCTCTCTTTTTCTCTCATGATACTTCTGCACCTTTCACTTTTTTTTCCCTCCTTGTTGCTTATTTTTTGGTCCTCCTCGCGGCGGTTTTCGATAAGAATCTCACGTGGAACAGACTCGTTTAACCGTCAAACGTCTTTGTCCGAACGCTTGTCAAAATATTAACACCAATATATAGTTTGGCTTTTCGGCGAAATCGTTCTCTTGTTTGTTCTTCGCATAAATATCCCGCAGAATCATCTTTTTTACCGATCAGATGAGAAACAGATATACCGAATTTCGACGCGTGCGTTTTTTGTTTTTTTTTTTTTTTTTGTTTTAATTTCACGATCTTAACATTGTTATAATATTTAATCCTATGATGGATTATAAAGAAATATGTAATTGGAACATAAAATTCTTAATAAAGGGGAAATTTTTGTTGTTTAATTATAATGACAGTTCTTCAAACGTCATTCTTCATCGCTATTTCATATTAAAATAGCTAATTCTTGAGTTAATGTATTAAATTTTATGGATTGGAATAGAATAGAATAATGCTGAATAATACAGATATTTAAATATAGAAAATTCTTTTAGATTTCAAACTAATCAATCTATTTCAGTCAATTTATTTATCATGTTTTTATTCTTTATCTTTAAATTATAAATAGATTATAAATAGATATGAAATTGTGTAAATTGATATTTTTTACAGACACTAATAAAGAATTATAATCAAATGAAATTATATATATATATATATATTACTTCCTTAATAATTTGAAATAATGTGCATTTTATTTTTATATTTTGTTACTTTAAAATTGTGTTTTTTTATCTATGTATATTTTTGCATATTGTCATAAATGTATGTATATATATTCGCAGTTTAGTAATAAATCACGTTTGTCAAAAAAAATAAACGAAATAAGATCCTCTATTAACTAAGACAGTTATTAACATTTTTGTTGCAATAACATTTTGTAGAATGTATCGCATATTACTAAATTATATTTTCAATATTTTGAATATTATTTTAAAATAATTTTCTTCAATGTTAAAATTTCTTTCTACAATGTTTTCTAAATAATTTTAATTAATTTGTAAGAATTAATTATGTTATTGTGTAATTAAGTTTTTTTAAGAATTAAAAATTATATGTGGATTTTCTATTAATATTCTATTCTAAATTGACCTTTCTAACCTCACAATGTTTAATGTATTCATAATGATAGTTCTTTTTATGTGTCATAATCGTATAACTATTTTTCATTACATTACTAAATATTAAAGAATATATTAAACGTTTATATTTCCTTGAGATGACTTGTGATTTTTTATGATAATCATTGTAAAAAACTTTTTTTTCTCTTCAAATCGAAGTACGCATGCGTACTTTTCTCGCGAAAGCGAGTGTCGTAACAATCGAGGTTATGTAACGATTAATTGTCACGCGGAGAACGATCAGTACGGGAATAAGATAACGACTGGCAAAAGCGCGCGCATTTACTTGTCATCATTGAGGTGGGCCTAATCGAGCGGATATAATGTTTAGGTTAGGCCATTGACAATAAAAGGCAGAGTTGATTGCTCTGTCGGTGTTGTAGATTCGCGAAACCGATATAGCCGACGAATTTCGTTGGAATTCTCTTGTGAGTCATTCGAGAGCCGCCCATATAGCGTCATACCATTTGACTTTTCGTTGTGTGTGATCATAATCATTTGAGAGCTCTCTCGACATTCATCTTATGTTCTTTGATGGAACATTTAAACGATCACATTTACAATGAGTGATCGCGTAGATTTATATCGAATCTCTCTGTGCAACGTGTTAACGTATGCCAAGCGATGTCACTCCGCGAAAAAATTGACTTTTCTTCGTATCGTAATCTCGCACGATTATTCTTATATATACATCAATGTCGATTATTGTTTTTGCATTAAGATGGTTTAACTCAAATATATATATTCATAACTGTATCACAATTTAGACACTGTTCATTGCCTATCTAAGGTCGTGCGAAATCTCGTGCAACACCTGGTGATTAAATCATACCATGAACTATTGTTAGTTTTGTGTTGCGAAGAAAGATGTATAACGATCTCTTGTGCAGGGAGGGAAAAAGTTACGTTCTTTAGGGACATTTCGTGAGGTGGGTCGTGATTTATTCGAAGGTTAACAAATTCGATTCGTACCGGTTCTTTTCTTTTATTTTCAGTTCCCACGTGTTTTCATCTCGTAGGTGTCAAGATATCTCTATAAAAATTCGATGTTAATCTTCTTATAATGCCATCGAAGTCTAATAAGAAATCTATATTTTTACAATTTTGTTTCTTGTTCTTATATATATACCATTATTTTATCAATGCATTACATTGGTAATATATTATTATACTATAATATATAATTTATTTGTAATTATTTTTCTAAGCTTTGTATTTATAAACTTTCAATTATAATTTTCTATATATATAACTAAAATTTTATAAAAGTTCACGTCTTTATTATTATTTATAATTATTTTTTATCTATTTATGAAAGATAACGATGGCACTAAAAATAAGATTAAGATTATCATTATCGATTCTTTTTTTTTTTAATCATTAATATTTAGTTTGTGTCGTGTGATTAAGTGACATTTTTTACCGATATGCGGATAACGTGCAAATTGATACGTCGCAAGAGAAGGTCGACTATTTACGTACGAATGCATACATGTAAACGAGTTCCGACCTCTGTTCATATTTTCATAGCGTTAACTGTATTCGTTTCGGTGATTCGCGTGATAATGCGCGTTGACATTACGACACGCGATGCAATACCGAATAGTCATTACAGTGCACTAGAAGCAACATGTTGTAACAATAAAAGAAATAAAGTTTCCTTAGATAGATGATCGATCGAGTGATTGACATTAAAAACATTACTTGCAATAAAAATTCACTCATATTTTTCATTTCTCTTGTGCGATCAAAAATAACAGTTTTCATTTTCTCATTTTACTACCCGATATAATATCTAAAGTACCTTTTATCTAAAGTAAATGTACTTTTATAAGCACAAAAATATAGCTAGGTTGTAAAATAAATTATCGACATAAATAGTGATTTAAGTTTCAGGATTCTGAAAAATAATCCTCTTATAGATCGTCCATATAATAATAAAGAAAATGGATTTATGATTTACGATATTTAAAAAAATAATGCAAATAATATTTAACGGTTGTAACAAATTGAAAATGTATAAATATAAAATTGAGAATTGAGTTTAAACTTAAATTTAAACATTTTTTAATACAAAGAAAAACTTTAAATTTAATTTTAAATCAGAGGATGATTTGAATATCAGTATATCAATTAAAATTATTAGTTATTTATGAGAAATAAAAAAGATATTAATAAATTCGTTACATATATTTCAGGCGAAATGCCGGTGCCAGTTTGGGATTGCTCTGATCTAGGCCTGTTGGACGAGTCTAGCCCTTTGGATACCACGACAGTGGTATCCGACGACATATGGAAGAAATTCGATTTTGACTTCTCGCTGGACCGATTGGACGCCGTCCATACAGATGTATATCACGAGCGCACATTCGACGATGGCGTTCTACCAGATTTGCTCTACGGCAAAATGAGCTGCCTTGCGTCACGAAAGATACGTCATCATGATTGCATGTGGGCTGGGCTGTGCATCAGTAAAGAGCATAACAGGACGTTGCCCGCGAAGAAAAACTCACAGATGCAGAAAAAGGTGCCGGCCGGTCGTAGTGTATTGATATCGCGGGCAGGCATAACTCATATAGGAAATTCTTTGGTCAATCAGCAACAGTGCCGTACAAGAAATCTGGAGAGTGACGGAGATTCAACTAGACCGGAAACACCAAGCTCGAGCTCCGACACGGAGACAGAAGACGAAGGCCCGTTCTTCAGACACGATCAGATCAATATACACGAGAAATTGTCCGAGTGCATGTCAGACGCGGTTACAAAAGCTGTTCCAGTGAGCGAGGTCACTGGCCAACTGGTCAGGTTCCATGACAGGAGGAAAGAGGAGGAGGAAAATCAGTGTCAAGTGCATAGAGAGACCAATATCAGGAACACTCTAAGCGACCATTGCTATCATCTGAATCAGCCTATCGGGAAGAACCTGGAACATCTTGGTGTACAGACACCTTCTGATTCTGGTGAGTCATGAATTTCCCTTTTCTCATTTTGCTCTCGATCATGTTACTTCTATTGATATTTCTGCTGTGTCATCGCATTCTATTCTATTTCTGATATTTAGTATGCTAAATGAATATCTAGCATATTAAATATATTTATATATATGTATATATAGCATAATACTTTTTTGTTATGATATTATGTTATGATCATTATTAATTATCAATTATTTGCACGTTTAATTAGTTTAATTCGTGATGTGACATTGAATTATAGTCGGAGACTGCTAATATATTCATCTATTTTACTACTGAAAATTCGATTTTAGATCATAAGATTTATTCTTTTTCACCAGGATTGTACAATAATATAAGGTGATTTTTTTCTTGAGTGATAGGTTTTTAAAAAAATGGAGAAAGATCTTTTATTTTCCATATATGTACAGTTTGAAGAAATTTTTAAAATTTGTCATGGTTTTCGATTTCTTCGTTTTTTTTTTATTTTTATATTTTGGTCACATTGAATAATATTGTGTTGTAGATTATAAAATTCGTCTCAGTAACCGCTTTACGTTATAATACAAAACATATTACAATTCTCAATTCAAGAATATTCATGTTCGTTCATCTTTATTTGAAAACCATGAAATATTCTAAAATGTTAAGATTTTAAAAATCTATTCAAATAGTTTATGAAAGTTTTTTCTATCTTTCTTTTCTTACAAACCTATTACTTACGAGAAACATGCTAAGATTTAATAGTGCTTCTAAAAATATTAAAGCAGATCGTTATAGACCTCCATAAATATTCATAAAATTTATATTCTTAAAAAATTTATAATCTCAATGATTGAAAAAAATAATACTATTCATTTTTTATCATTTCACTTTACATACATCATTATCATTTCACTTTCATAGGTCAATACGCGGTTTCACATATGAAATTTAAGTAGTGCAAATATACCGCTTATTCCCTTGCTCGGAGGTATAACGTTTTATCTTAGCCATCCGCCAAAGGATCAACGAGTTTATTCATCTTGTTCTTTTGTACCCTTTTAAACGGAGGCAAGGCAAGGTCGAACCTAAGAAGGATCCTCCTCTTAATCGAGTGCAATTGACGGTACAACACTCTTCTCTCGGGGAGAGTGCAGTTCGCCGAATTCGGTTACCCGCATGAGTATGCTAATCACGCGTTTGGTTATTCGTCATTCGTCGTGGCAGCGTCGTGAATGCGACACAATCGAGAAAAGAAACTCGTTTTAGACCCAAGTTCGATGGTCGTTACGCTAACGTCCTCTCGACAACCTTCTTTCTTCGTTGTTCTATTCTTCGATGGGGAAGGGAAAGAACAAAGATAAAAAAGAAAAAAAAAAGAGATAGGAGAGAAAGAAACTCGTGAGAATTTTCGATTCTGCCTATAGGCTGTTTCTTTTTCGAAAAACCTGAACACACAATATATACACAATATATCATTTCGTGTTTGTACAAATAATTTGATCCACGTTAATGTGCCACGATGAAGTACGAATTTTTCACAATTCTTTCTCTTCTTTTTTTTTATTTTCGTTTTCGTTTTCGCTTACCGTATATGTATATTGGTACGTAGAAGGATAAAGGGTTAGGCGCAAGTCTTTTGTTTCACGATGCAAGTGGAATATTTTCGCAAAGTAATCAGTGGTCGGTGTGCCGAACAGAGACGTTTTTGTTCGCAATGGTGTGATTTTTCAGAGGCAACACGCTTGTGTCAAATTTCTCGGTTTCTTCGAGGAGAGAGATTTACAATGTATGAAGCGGTCGAAGAGTCGATAAAGAGAGAGAACAGTTCAAAGGCCCTCCTTTCGCGTGTGCGCGCGATCTTGTTATCAGAATACTATAACGCGAGTTGCCACAGCTTTCGTGAATATTTTACAACGGTATTTCCTTAGATGCTTATCATCGTGCCTCGGGACGAGATATTCCGTTCGTTTTAGTTTAATAACGGCGAAGGTTATACGTTAACCTATACATTAATATACATATAGTCATTGGAAACGTAAATGTAATTTAATTGCTGTATACGCGACGTTTGTTCGCTTTCAATGACGAGGATGATTGCTATCGGGGAAGGAGGGGAGGAATATTTGATGTTTTATCTTGTTGCTTCGATGTCATCAGAAAAATCTTTTACATAGAATACGTGTTAAAGGTGGATTTTCTTTTGTAAAAATACTCACGAGGAATTTATCTCACGTTGTATCGATATTGTTGAAAAATATTTTGTACAAGATAGGTGTTAAGGTAAAAAAGGATTAAGGATTAAAATAAGAAATAAACTTTAAATTTAAAATTTTCGTACATATTGAATTTAGATATATAATATTTGATATATTGAAATATTAACGAGACAGATCTATTATAACGTATTAAAATAATTAGATGATATACTTATTATAGTTCATTATCTGATATAAATATATATATATATATCTAATACTTTTACGTAATCATCTTAAATAACATGATTACGCAGCTGCTGATTAAATATCTAAATATTAACTATGTACATATAATAATTTTACGTATTGTACATTTCATTAATTTCACATACGACTCTTTAGAATTTTAAAAATTCCCTGCCTTATCTTTTATCACTTAAAATATTATGTCAATTTTACACAAAGTATACATATACGAATATTCAGTATTAGCATTAAAAATAAACGTTGTATACATATTTATATCAATAAGTATTTAATATTTGTTCCAAGCTGCAATCATTGTTCGTTTCGATAATTTCATGCATATTTAAATATGCGAAAGCGCTTGTCTTGTATCGCATAGAACGTTAAAATATCGTCAAAAAAATATTAAAAGAACAAACGTGCGATTACACATAATAAATCTGTATTATATACTAACATTATAGCGAGGTTGTAAATTCAATTAATAATCAGAATAAGTCATTTTTTTATTGTATGGATATTTAAATAGAACATTAATTGAATCTAGTGTTAAAATAGTGAAACAAATCGATATTTTTAGCTAATTTCTTTATTTATTCTTTTACAGACAAAAATTTTTTAATTTCATATATATGGTGCAAAAAAGGAAGGGAAAAAGTGAATAAGTTCTTAGTAAACGTACAATTGTATAAAGTAGTTATATAATGGAAGTTTTGAAGGAAGAGGAAGATTTACGAAAAAAAATCATTGTTTTTGTTTTCAAAGAAGAACAATCTAGTAATACTATCTAGTTCGCCCATAATTATTGGGCAGTATAAAGAAGTTGTTTACTATAGATACTCGATGATTTAATTTACGACCTCATTATATTTTGGCTTATATTGTATACAAATACATGGATTATTTGAAAAGTTCTTGAAGTAGAAATAAATATTATTTCTATTTTTGTTTTTCAATATTATCTTTAAATCTCAATACACTTCGTTATTCCATGTTATGAAATCATTCTAAAGCCGTTAAAATCTGCAAAATATCCATCAATGGCTTCTTTTCTTAGCTGAGGAATTTCATAATTAAATATCAATTATTACGAAGAAATGATTTTTTTTTATAAATATAAATTTTTAAAAAATAAAAATAATTTGATGAATTATACAATTATATATTTTATTATATTATATGACAAATGTATATTTCTATTAAATTATAAACTTCCAGCACTTTTACTATAATTTATATTTTCTTCTCAAAACTTTTTTAATGATCCATGGTATGACATAAAATATATGTCTTTTGAAACGCTTACGATGCTGACACTGCGCATCCAGATTCGCGCAGAAAGATGTGCGCGCGCAGAAAATGGAGACGCGTCCTGCGAATTCCTCGAGTGGTCATTTGGGTTGTTCGATCTAGCACCTCGTGATTAGATTTCCAGTGCTCACTTTTCAAGACTCGTCACGTACAGCTTCGTGAAGACATCGTTCTGTGCAATGTTCGATCTAACTATAGTGATTGTGAAGAGAAAGCAAGAAAGTTCTAAAGAGAAAAAGGGATGAACGTATACATGCGATTTGGCGCGACTCACATTCGCTCAGGCCACGTAATGTCGTCTCGTCTAAGATAGGTAGGGAGATAGTGCCGTTTACCATCTGAAAATATGTTGCACCACATGTCGACATCTTAACATTGTTTTATAGGTACTGAGAATGCACGCACACGATGCTGTACGATGATATTCGAACATGGCCGTTGCGCGCGTGTAACGTGGCTGGTATGATAGGAGAGCATGACGAGGAAAGAGTCGCCTAACGACCGCGCAGCTTTGCCCGCACATAGTTGCATGCCGCCTGTATTCGTGTGCACGTGTGCAGCGACACTTAATGCGCGCGCACGTGACCTGACACTTAGTCGGCGCGCACAGTCTTTTCTTCCGATACACGTCAAATTGAATCCCGGCATTGCACATACTAGGCTGTACATAGTATGTATATTGGTGTTTTCTATTTTTCTACGTCATGCTTACGATGCATTCGATACAATGTGACATTTCGAGCACGCTTTTAGCGAGTTGTCTTAATCTTCGATGTCGATATTTCACGATATTGGTTTTGATGAATTAGAGGTTATGTTTAACGAAGTGAAGAAATATATTATATGTTTTTTTTACTTGGTTCCTACAAAAAATAGCTAGAAATATAGGTAGAAAAAGCTTTTTATAATGTACTGAACAGAAGAAATAAATTTTGAATAGAATATATTCCGATTTATTTGGGATTTATATTAAAATATATGTTAATCGAATAACGGATTGAATAAATATAATCGATAAATTGTTTTGATCGATCACGAAAAGCTTTCAATCATTCAATTGGAATCGAAATGATTCGCGTCGCGATACGTTAACGATCACGGATGTGATTCGACGGTATCGATCGAACTGGGAGACCGGGATAATTGACTGTAACGTTTGATCGACGCGATTGAATTTTCTGAGTGGGTGAAGAGAACGGGAGAGGAGAATGCGCAGACGGCGAAACGGTGAGAGAATTCTTGAGCGTGTACGAACGTCGACCTCTT